GAATTATGCATCAACCTAATAATATCCAATGCAGATCTCATTTTCAGTGTCAATTTCATATTCTTAATCCCCTCCTTGAGTACATCTTGAAAATTTTCAGGTATTATTTTTTGGACTCGTTTCAAAAGAATATCCTGCTGCCCCAACTTCATATTTTCACTTACCCTCCCTACCAATACTCATTTCTTCTCGAATTTCATAAATTTTAGAGTCGAAATACGCATTTTGTTCAACAAGCTTCACCAAGTCCAACAAGCAACTTTTTTTACACAGCGAATATTCTCAGCAAACATTCGTAGCGATGAAACAACAGTTCCCTTACCTGTCGGTATATCCGTGTTCATAAATGAAGTACAGGGTAAGGATGGCTTTCATTCCATAGAACGAGAAACGTTCACAGAATTCATTGCCAAGCATTAAAAATACCGCTGGCGGATATCTGGAAGAAAATTTACTAAAATTAATTTTAGTGCATAGTGCATCAAGTTTTAGCTTGAAGAAAAACAAATAGTAGGAGTTAAGTTGGCTAAAGTGTTTATTTTGATATCTGAAAAAGCAGTAGTCAAGTACGATCTAAGCAATTCCGTTTGTTGCTACATTACCAAAAATGCAATAAAAAACCTTTTCTGAAACTTCTTAGATCTTTTTCACTTACGATTTGAGATTGGCGATGAGACCGAGCTCCTTCGCCATTTTTGAGTGGTGAGGGCGTCGTCTCCTGCGTTGGGGAAGGATCGGCTCACTTTGTTCTGAGCTCTCTAAAATAGGTGATATGAATCTTCAGAATTTGTATTTGGAGGATAATCATTGATGATAGATGATAAGACTGCTAGATAATCAATGTCGGCAATGAAGGTATGACCCGCTTCACAGTGATTCAACATGTTTCTATGTCGAAAGAAACACTAATGGAAGACTAGAACGAAAAGTCACCAATTTGGTTTCAGTATAAAAGTGAATATTACCGCAGTTGCTAAACTGCAGGAAAAGTGATTACAGACTGATTTATAAAAAAAGCGCGGGTCATAGTCTGGCTGTAAAATAGGTAGAACAGGAGTGCCTTTGGGTAATTTTACCAGAAGACAAGTGATTTATGTCTCTTTTCATGAAATTTCGTTGACAATCTGGCACGTTTAATCCGCTGATGCAGTCTATAACAGCTTCAGATACAAAA